TGGAACTCGGAGACGGAGTCCCGGCTGCGGCCGCTCCTCTTTGTTGTGTCGAGGAGTTTCCCTGCGCGCCCGGCGGCGGCCCGGCTGGAGTGTAGCGTTGCCTGAGCTGCCTGAACGCGAGTTAGACGTGGTGTGTCTTCCTTTCTTTGCTCCGGCAGCTGGTCTCTCCGTCCCTTCCTTTCTCTCCCCGGTGCGCCATGCCAGCGTATGTCCCGGCCGGGGTGTGCTCGCTCACTGTGTGTGTGAGTGTGGCGGGCGATGGCCGCAGGAGACGATCTCAGCGGCGCACCGAGCCGCCCGCTCCCGCCCAGCCCCTCATCCAGGAGAACAAGAAAGAAAAGGCATCGTTCACCTTATCGCTGGGGCTCCGCGCACTGGCTGTGAAATGGGTGGAGGGTGGAGGGCAGTGGCTCCATCACTTACCCCGACCTCGATGTTCAGAGAAATGGGCGTATTTCGGTAACTTGAAAGGTTTCTTTGCGTGTATGGAGAGGCTTGGAAAGGCCCCTTGAGGATTGATGGCTGTTTTCACCCCTGAGAATCCTAGTGATTTTTAAAAGTGAATGTATTTGTTTCTTATTTATTTATACTTGAATTTAGTTTCTTTTTTTAAAAAATATATTTATTGATTTCAGAGAGGAAGGGACAGGGAGAGAGAGAGAGAGAGAAACATCAATGATAGGAGAGAATCATCCATCGGCTGGCTGCCTCCGGCACGGCTCCCAGCGGGGTCCGAGCCCACCACCCGGCGTGAGCGCTGACCGGGCATCGAACTGTGCGACCTCCTGGTTCTGGGTTGCCGCTCGACCACTGAGCCATGCCGGCCGGGCTGAATTTAGTTTTTAATGCCTTTAGTTTTTGCATTATACTTCAAGGTGAAACTGTCGATTATTTAGGAGTAATGAGAATAAGATAATATGGATTCATTTACATTTGAATTGACAGTCATTCTAAAGGCATGTAATCTTGACTAATTTTTATTTAACAACCTTTGACTTTTGGCAGAATTAGCATCCTTTCAGTCTCCGTAAGCAGTTTGATTATTCGAAAATAAATACTTTCAAAAGTACATATTTTTGTAAAGTAATGTGATTCGGAACATTGTATTTGAATAGTTTTTATTGTAGATTTTATAAATTGCCTTTGCCATGTTGAACAGAGTCTAAATATATTTCAGTTGAAATACAGCATACGAAATTCGAGCGTGTAACTTTTCTGCTAAGGATTTAATTTTCTCTTTTGGAAAGCTAGTACATGACATTTCAAGTTCTAAATGACTGATATAATTAACATTTAAAAATCTGATTTCTTATTAATGTTTCTTTGATAATGTCACGATTTTTGTTTTTTGTTTTTTTAATTGGGTTTATTACAGAACAAATGTACTGCAGGCTGGCCAAGCATTTAAGATTTGGAATATCTTTAGGTCTAACAGTGGTGATAGATTATGTAGGTTTAAGTTGTTGGAGTTAAAACTAAAAGCTTTCTAGGCAAAATTGATATACCATTTTGTGAGTCTATTAATAGAAGTGGCCTTTTCTTAGCTTTCCAGGTTTTTGGGAAAGGTTGCATCTTCTTTGATGTTTGAAGTGGGAGTGCCTTAAGTAGAAACTTCCCTGTTCAGCGAAATGCCTTCATCTTAAATTTTGAGCTTAGAAAAAAAATACTTTAAATTGGTTTCAGGTTTAATGAAAATTTCTGCTGAGAAAGTCACTTTGAAATTTTTCAGAATAATTTTTATATGGATCATTGATCAAATGTCTCTGCTCCTTGAAGGAACTCTGCTTCTACTAGGAGGCAGCAGATCTTTGTAAAAACCTATACTTCACTTTCCTAAACTACATTTTAGTTTAGCCATATCTCCATTTGTATGCGAATTCTTTATTCTGCATTTCCCTTCAGATCCCCCTCCCCTCCGCCCCCCAGTTAAAGAGCAAGTATAAAACTAATTTATGCTGTGCATTCACACTCCAGCTCTCCGGTTTGGAAGCTGTTTTTTTCTGAGTGAGCTGGTGTTATAGTAACATCATTAGACACCATTCTAATTGAGCTGTGAATTGCTGAGGCTTCTACTAGGGCATTTAACCCTATAGGATCTGCTCTGTTCATTATATTTAAAACATATATTTATTAAATTTTTTATTTCTTTTAGAGAGAGACAGAAAAAGGGACAGAGAGGGAGAGAGAGTGAGAGATAGAAACATCAACGATGAGACTCATCCACTGGACTGACAGGCTGCCTCCTGCACACCCCCTGCTGGGGATCAAGCTGGCAACCCAGACATGAGCCCTGACCTGGAATCAAAACGTGACCTCCTGGTTCATAGAGCGGTGCTCGACCACTGGGCTACACTGGCTGAGCTTATTCAGTGATTTTAAAGTGAATGGTTTTTTAAACATCTTATGTTAGCCATTTCAGTGCTTATTGTACATGTTGGATTTCCTTTTTTTTTCTATAAGATTGTGTAGTTAAGCAGAGTTTTGTTTTCTGTGTGTGTGGTTTTTGTGTGTGTGTTTTTGTTTGTTTTTTGCTTAAGTGCTGATTAATGGTGACTCAGATAATGGTTAATCATGTATAAAGCTAATTAGTTTCAGTGATTTTATTATTTTCTACACTAAATGAAAGGAGCTAGGTTAGCATAACACATTCAATTTTGTTAAATTATTAAATTTGGGACTTTTTGCTCAACAGTTGGTAAGGATTCAGTTGTTTTAAAAAGAGAAATTCAGACAGTTGAAAAATTTGTCTAGATATTCATTTGAGTGACTTTCAGTATGATACTGTTTACATCATAATATGCCAAAACATATGCTTGATAATGGGTCAGATTTAGAATTTTTGGATTTTTTTTCTTGTTCTAAAATGTGTAATTTTGGTGATGAGAAATGTGGCTGAATTTCTGGTTCTCGGGAACAAGGTATTTTGGGTTGTGTCACTTTGACACTATACATGATGTAATTGGCATCCAGGAAAATTTATTTTAACCATGAGAGTGGATAAAAATGAGAGTAGTGCTTACTAGTAAAACTAGAATAATAAGTGATCAGAATCTTAAAATTTTAAGTCTTTTTAAAAAATGTTTTTATTGATTTTTAGAGAAGGATAGAGATAGAGAGGAACATCATGGGTCAGCTGCCTCCTGCATGCTCCCTACTGGGGATCCAAGCCCGCAACTGGGCCTGCTCACTGACCCAGAATTGAACTGCTGACCTCTTGGTTCCTGGGTGGACCAACCGCTGAGCCACACTGGCTGGGCCAATTTAAGTCTTGATTATTTGCTCCTGCAAATCACACCATAGGTAGGATATGGTAGAAAGCTACCAGAGACTGATTGTAATAAGTATCTGTTATTGCATCTTAATTTCAATTTTGGTGATAATTATAAATGCTATTAAACTCAAGAACTATATTTTATTGTGTACATTTTAAATGAGAATTCTTTGCAGTCTGGAAAATTTATAACTGTGTGGGGTTCCTCTTTTTTTTTTTATCAGAGGATATTTTTTTCCCATTGATTTCTAGAGCTAGTGGAAGGGAGGAGGAAGGGAGGAGAGAGAAACATTGACATGAGAGAGACAAATCGATTGGTTGCCTTCTGCACATGCTCCTGCAGGGACTGGGGACCCTGCAACCAAGAATTGAACCTGGGACCTTTCAGTCTGTGGGCCAACGTTCTAACCACTGAGCCAACTGGACAGGGCTGGGGTTCATTTTTTTAATGTTTTTCTTCAGTTCCCAATGTTTAGGACAGTGGTCTCAATCTTGGTTGCACTTTGAAATCCCTTGGGGAGCTTTACAAACCTTGATGGCTTGATCCCATCCCCAGAAATTGTGATTCAGTTGGCTTGGGGTATAGCCAGGTGAGAGTTCTGAAGTGGTTGAGCTATTAGAGTCCTCTAACTTTTAAAAAAACATTTTTGTTTATTGATTGCTGAGAGAGAGAGAGCAAGCGAGCGAGAGCAGTTTGTTATTCTACTGATGCATTCATTTGTTCCTTTTTGTATGTGACACCTGATGGGAGATCGAACCCGAAACTTTGGCAAATGGGGCAACATTATCTAACCAGCTGAGCTACCTGGCCAGGGCAGGGTCCTCGAAAACTTTATTTATTTTTTTAACTTTCACTTGTGTCAGCTTTACACTCTAATACATTGATGTACATATGCACAATGTAATCATCTCACATCTAACTTAATGGGTCCCTTAAAGATACTACCTCATATGTTTTGCTTCCAAGTCTGTTCCTTCATCTCTCCTTCTCTCCCCTATTTTCTACTGTTCATTGTTCAATTCGTTTGAACTGTCTGGTAGCAAGTTATAGGATGCTTTATTTCCTGTGATGAGAGATTGGTATATCATCACTATCCTAACTAGGAAGTTTATCTTTTAAAGCACTCTAAAATGTGTACTTGGCTCCTTTTAGAGACTGTTTAGGTCCCAAAATTAACATTTAAACTCCCAAAGGAACTTGGCCTTTATAGGGGTAATCTGTTTGGAAACCATAAAATTTTCTAGACACCAAATAGTCACTTGAATGGTTCCTCAGATGCAGGTT